CTGATGCCTGATCCCGTCGACACTTCATGATTGCACAGGCTGGTGTGCTTCTTCCATGTGGGCTTGTGGCTTCTCTGCTAGATGGCCGCTTGTTTACCTTCAAGCCTTTAAGATCCCAGATGCTGTATCTTTTGATAGCTGGGCACCATCAGCTTTCTTTATCACATTTGCTATGCACTCAGTTTGTCTTCAGTGATCGTGCCAAAAGAGAGGGTGAGCATCACAGAAAAGCAGAAATGAAAATGAACACAATGTTTTTGTAAAGCTCTTTCTTATACATATATGGGTGTCATTAGATTTATTTCTCGAGTCCACCCAGCCTAACACACTTGTCTCTAAAGGGAAACTGACTGTGGTAGCAATTGTACCATTCTACTTCTACTTGATGTCACTGAAATATGGAATGGCATGTTATATATATGGCATGTTATATGTAAAGCAGCGGGACTGACGGTTCTGGAGGGACTTGAGACGAGGAGGCAGGGGAAGGGAGAGTTGAGCAAACAACACCATGGACAGTGGAACAACTAGGGAATTCAAATCAACAATGAGGAGGATGTAGAGATCCTGGGGTGTTGGTGCAACAGCAATTTGCTCCAACAAACTTTGAGAGGAATTACTAAGAAGCAGAAGAAGGGTGAGCATGATGGTGGGGCAGGAGAGAGGTAAAAGGAAACAGAGGAAAGCTCCAGGTAGCACAGCTAAAGTTTGAGGTATAAGCATGGGTGTGTACATATCTAAATATATTAATTCATTAAAATAGAGGTACTGACCTATATACATGTATTTATATAGCAATATACTGAGGGAGTAGACAGACTTTGTGCCTCTACTATACCCTCCCTCAATGCAAGAACACTTTGTTCTAACAAACTGGCAGTCTGTGATGCTCACCCTGCCAGCACAATCAAAATGTGTGCACAAGCAAATGTGGTGAAAAGCTGATGGTGCCTGGCTATCAAAAGATATAGTGTCTGGGATCTTAAAGTCTTGAAGTTAAACAAGCAGCCATCTAGCCAATAAGCAACAAGCCCACATTTAAAAAGCACAACAGCTTGTGCAATCATGAGGTGTGGACAGGATCAGGTAACATGCATCAGAAGGCCACAAACAATCAAAGCCATATTGTTGAGAACATGGGGGTCAGAGCAGAG